TTCTGATTGTGATGATTTATAACAACAATAATTCCCCACAGCATCATATTGGATTTGAACAAAGGACTAGATACGATAATGTGTTTGGCTTTGTCTAACACATTATCTTACCATAGACCCTTTCATCATCCAATATTGCATCATGGGGGATTCAATTGTGTTTAATTATATAACTTAACAGTATTCTTAAAGATACTGCAATTAATACAGTTAAAGCCAGAAAGCTGTTAATACCTAAGTTTATAAATGTAAATGCTCATCATCAGCATTCATTCAAATTAAAAAACTTAAAGGGCGGTGGTCGTTGCGCTACGCAAGTACAACATTTGTGACAATAAACATTGATTTTCCCACAATCCAATGCGCTCTTCTAATGGAAATCACAAGTATGATGTTTGACCTTGTGGTGACTTGCACTGATTACCACCAATGACATTTCAATTTACCTAAAAAACACCTAATTAAAGTTTGGTTACATCTCAGTTTGTACTCGTTAATTGATCTGTGCTACAGTCAAATTTGCCATCTTTGTTTATATGAGACCCATATATCTCACGCATACATGGCATAACAACTACCGACTTTTAATAATGATATTATGTATGAAAAGTTTCTAGCATCCCCGGCTTTCTTCCCTTCACTGTATACTGTGAAAAGTGATCATAAAAAAATATTATTATTAAAATTGACATTTTGAATATTGAGACCTGTGATAGCTATACTTTCACAAAAAAGAAAGAATAGTTTTCCTGAGGTCACCATGGTTAACGTTATACCAAATTAAATTAAAATTGTACCTTCGGACCCCGGAACCCTCTAACTATATAAGTATGAACCCATCACAGTCTCGCTCTGACATATGCACATCCAACATTTGCATGAATTTAAATTATTTAATTAAATTACATACTTTCTCCACATGAATTCTTTACCAAATTTCTACCATACGGGTTCTTGAAGTAAACCATCCTCCATTCCCTCGAAGGTATCGTAACTAGTTCCTTGATGTCTCGGCCACATTTCAAACACTTTATTTTCCAGAAAGATGGTAGCTGAATTACTTTACACCAATGTTTACAAACACGGACGCACGCCGAAAGGTCACTGTCTGGTACAAATGACAGTATATGAGCCAATAGTTCATCTGGAATGCCCGATATTGGTGATGACTTATCCATTTCAACCACGTTATTCGTTGTTACAAATCACCAAAAAATGTCATTGCCAATGCCAAAGTGAACCAACAGAATATTATAACGATTGTGTCTATTCACGGGTGTGAAGACAGCGTACGGTTCGATTCGCGTACGATTCACGTTCCATTTGATTGATACTCCCATTGAAATACTTATAATTCCGGCGAATGTTGATATATAGAAATTTCAGCCAATTTAACAATATTTTTTTTTGCGAAAAAATAGGAATTAATTTAGTATTTTATAAATAAGTTATAAATACTTTTATAGTGTGCATAGCAGTTCCTTGGCGCGCCCAGTTTGCGAATGCACGGAAGGTCAAAGGGCAATGAATATTAATAAAAACATCGTCGACGTACCTGTTTCAAATAATTTGATAATTGAAACTATATTTTTTTTACATACGATTCATGTTCTTTTAAACATATTTATACGTCTGTTTCTATGGTTATTTTATACTTGTTTGAGCCCACGTGACTTCCGATGTGAATGAGACTGTGAGACTATTTTTAACCATGATTTTCTCCAAAAAAATTTTTTATTGATCCATATCTTTCTAGACAAAGTTTGCTATATATAAACATTTGTGTAAATTATAGCAATTTCAATTGTACACCGATCGTATGCGAATCGAACGTCAATTGTAT